GGGGGGGGGGGGGGGGGGGGGGGGGGGGGGGGGGGGGGGGGCGCCAGTAACCATAGCAACGTGCAGCAGTTTTAGTACATGTGCACTGTGCACGGGGTTAGACAGAGAGGGGTCACAGAGCCGGTGTCGAGTGGAAAGTGCTGTGTCGTTTGACCATAAAGTGACGCTATGAAACTAACTATAGATTCGTTTTTCACAAGAAAAAATAATCCAGAAACTCCTGTCGGTCCTGTGCCAGTTTCCCATACTTCCGACGACGATAGTTCAGAGGACGAGTCAGCAGGTGATGTCGCAGCACCGAAAAAGTCAAAGCCCTATCATTTCCGATAAGAATGGCTCACTGAATTTACGTGGTTGAGATATTGTAAAGAAAAGAAAGTGATGTCCTGCATGTACTGCTCTCAGTGTGGTCCGAAATTTGTGGAGAAAACTAAATTTGCCGACTCGACCTCACACTTCAAACATGAAACGCTGGTTAAGCACAACAACAGCATCAGGCATAAATTATGCAAGGACAGATGCAATGATGGAGCAAAAGCGCCGCTGCACACATTATTTAAGAGGCAGGGTTGTCTGTGTTTATTGCTAAATTATCAGTAATGCAGTTAATACAGACAAAATTATGAATATGTTGTGTCGATATAGATAGTGCTCCTAAACTTTGTGCTGGTGCTCCTAGTGGAAAAAGTTAGTCTGGAGCCCTGTTATTCAAAAGAATTACAAAAGTGAATCAAAATTATATTTAACCTGAAAAAATGTTTCATACACTTATTTCTATTTTGAATACATTGTTGTATTTTTCAGAATTCAAGATCAACACATGAATTTTCAGTTTCAAATTTTATTTTTTCAAGTACAAAACTTTTGACCCTAATGTAGCTCCATACCAATGTGTCCAGGTCTATCATTAGTACAAAATAGGGATGCACCGAAATGAAAATTTGTGGCCGAAGCCGAAACCGAATATTATTAAACGCTTGGCCGAATACCGAGTACCGAATACCGAATATCATTGTTTAGTTTTTCATTAGTTTTTGCAGATGAACCCCTTCCAGATCAGTGTTGTCACGGTACCAAAATTGGGACCCACTGTGCGATACCAATGAAAATACCATGGTTCTGAGTAGTATCACGATACCACAACGAAAATGAGGCAGATGTGCCTTTTGTCATTTATGAAAAGATTAATCACTTTTCTATAATACATCAATGATATTTCAATGGAATAAATTACTTATTGACTTATTCATACTTCAAAAACAGCATCAATAAGTGATTAACATAGGGGGGATCGAAATAAAATAAATAAATAAAATAAAAATCAACCAGCCACCCTCCTCCCCTGACAGTCCCTTGATAAGTAATGAACAGTCCCTAAAGTGCGGTGAGGTTTGTGGGCCGTTACTGCCAGAAAGAGAGAAATGTGAAAGGCTCGTTTCTCCTCTGACATATCACATACCTGTGTTCGGCTGGCTCGGCTGTTCAGGTTCTTCTGGGCAGTCATGACACCAAGAAGAGGATATTATTGGAACCGACTTCTCCGTCGCCGGTTAAGCCGATGGCCGCCGTATTTGACAGGAATACATTAACATTACTGTCTGTGCCTGTGACCCCCGTTCAACCCACAATCGGTGGGATTCGCCTTTTGTTTCTGCTGCTGGTTGAAATCTGTAGGCTGCTCGCACAGTGTGCTGAATGATTTAAGCCTATTTTGCTCGCTCAAAACTATTTTTAGTCGCAAATGCTAGTGTCTTGATGGTCGGATCTCCACACTTCTGTTATTTTATTCCGCCCGTCACTGCATTCTTTTTGATTGCGTTATCAAAACACGCCACTATTATTCGGCCTTGCTTTTAACTTATTCCACTGAATACCGAATGTGTGTTTTTTTGCAATATTCGGCCGAATATATTCGGTTACCGAATATTCGGTGCATCCCTAGTACAAAACTCCATGCTCTTTAGTTTTTCGTCTTCTGACGGACTGAGGTGTCTCTCTTGCAAGAGCACAATCTGCCCGTTTTCTCTTTTCATTTACTTAGCTGGGTTTGATACCCTTTCACACTGAATGAATAAACCTTAAGAATCAAAACGTATCTGAATTTGCAAAACAACTGTACGCCATCAGTCTTTTGGCGAAGGGGAATCCCCTTCTAAATTCGTCAAGTTTTTCCTTAAATAGAGGGCGGTGTTTTTTCTTGGGTTGCACTCTGGACCAGATTCCTGATCTTAACCCTGGCTGCTCTGTCTCCCCGTCACCTGCCTGGTAGACAGGAGTCTCCTCTTGGTCCATAGCAGCAGAGGACCTCGCAACAGTAATTGAGAACCTCCGGAAGCCAAATCCCTCATCACCTCTGTCCTGGAACAGACAGGAGCCATCATCATAGAAGACCTGCAGCCTTACAGGATACTATGTTTGAATGTTTTTTTTTTGTTTTTTTTTTCAGCCCTTTCTTGGGTTCAGCCTACTCATCACATTTCTTAAGCGTTTCAGGAGGGAAGTCATGGTCAACATAGAAGCGTAGATTGTTGCAGAACACCTCTTTTTTCTGTCATGCTCTCCTAAGCACCTCTTCTTTCATCTGGTAACTCCCAAATCTGACCACTATAGATCCGGGCCTTGCTTACAAGCTGATGGGCTTCAGTACCAGCGCTCACTGTGCTGAGCTCCTTTTCAAGGAGAAGGTCGGCTGTGTGGCTTTCAACAGGTTATCCAGAAACTCAACCATGTTGGTGACCTCTTTTTCTTCTGGTATTCCGTAATTCTTAAATTATCTCTCCGCGCTCGACCCTCCTGGTCTATTAGCCTGGCCTTCAGATTAGCTTTGCATTGCGTTAACCGCTTGAAACACAGTGTCCGTTTCATCAATTCTCCCCAGCCTGGCCTTGTTCACACTTCTTGTTTGCTCTCTTTAGTTCTCTTTTGATGTCTAAAAGTTGTTCTCCTATTATTTCTTCTGAACTTGTGCTGAGTGATGAACGATAATTATCCCAATACAGATTTCCTCGACAGAGATATTAAAAAAAAGTTTGATAAATCTTCCATATAATTAAACCACCCATATGCCCATAGAGGTCACGTGCATTTCCATTAGAGTGCGGCACGGGCCGCATATTTCTGTCCGAACCCGACCGAGCCCGACATTATCTAATCAATAAAGCACTGAGTTTGTGTCACACAGTTGTCATGATTACAGGCTATTTAACAGGTCGGGCGTGCACCGTGGGTGCTCAGCGGAGAGGGAGACGTCCGTGTTTGCGACGGGAGCGGGCGACGGGAGGTCCGACACTTCCAGCGAGGGGAGAGGGAGAAATATAACAAAATAAGATAAAATAGGAGACGCCTGTCTCCCTCTTTTATTTAATTTTCAGCGTTTAATCAAGGCGGAGGCAGGTGGCCCGCTTCCAGCGAGGGAAGCGGTAGAAACAAACAGCCAATGTGTGTTTGTATTCTGTTCAGGTGTTGTCACATAAATAACAGTGCCCAAGCATGAATGCATATAAGTATTTTTTATTACATTGCTGTGGTTAATTTGAGGTAATAGTGTTACTGTAGAAATCAGAGAATCACTTTTTGTTGTTATATATTCTCAGGGAGATGATACAAGCTCTAAATCTGAAATACACACCACACACAAATGTGTATTTTCATCTAATTGTACTGTGCAGTTAGAATCATGTTTTTGTATTTGTATCATTGCATTTGTGTTCATTATATACTTGTTTAAGTATAGCAAGTATAATGAATATGATGTAGGAATCGGTAAGGAATCGGACCGTTAAGAAGGAATCGGTAAGGAATCGGAATCGTTAAAATCCTAACGAGTCCCAACCCTATAGAGGGTGCAGTAATGCACCTTAAACACCAACTGCCACTTAACAACAGTAGTAGTAGTTGTAGTAAAAGATGATGATGAGACTGGCCACTAATGCGTTATGTTAAAACAACATTCAACATACTCATCAAGTTATTTTTAGTATGATTGTTTTGACCACAGATATCAGCATCACACTACCCTAAGACTGAATTCGCCATATAACGTTAACTACAGTAGCTGTATAGTCAGCTCATCTAATGCTGATGGTAAGTCAGCAAGTTAATGTGACTGATTAACTGGCTGTTTCATTAGAGCAATGTAGCATAATCTGACTAAAGGTGAAGAATTAAATTTTCAAACATTTCCTCGTCTGTAAACATGATTTGTATCTGTGATTCTATGTTACTTCGCAACGTCATCAAAGTCAGTAATTATTTTTTTTTTTTTTACAGTTAATTTATTGTCTAGTTTCTATACCTGCTTTTATCAATTTTATCATTTATTCATTACACACTGTTTTATCTGGTCTTAGCCGACATTCAGTGTTTATTTTTTATTTGTTTTTATTGATGTTGTTGCCGTCTTTATCTTGACAGTGTATACTATTTTATCCTGCAAAGCACTTTAACTGTGTTTGAAAATAAATATTACACAAATTAAGTTTTTTATTATTGTTATTATCAAAGTGCAGGTTGTGGTGTTTTTCCAGTTAGTTGAACAAGGTATTTGTGTTGCTTTGCAACACAGACAAGTCTTGGGCTCTTTGCAAATTATCCGTTCTCTCTTACATCCTAAATACTTCCACAAAATGGATGCTGATGATGAACAGATGATTTCCATTTCCAAATGGTGCAACCCTACTGTGTGCCATTTATGTCTCTTCATTCTAAAATTCAGCCATTCATTACACTCTCCTTACACACTTGCACACATTAACATCTGAACTTTACTTGTTACATGAAAGTCTAAAAATGAACCACAATTGAGCCACAAGTCGGTGTTTCCCATACACAGGGTTTAGTGGGTATATGATGTGAGTGACTGTCTCTCTATTATTAAGCATTTTAAAATGATGATAGATAATGATATTTAGCTACTTCAACATGCTTGAAAATGGACACAGTGAAGTCACACACTCACCTCTCTGAAGCTCAGCTTGCCATCAAAGTCTTCGTCCACCTCTTTGATCATGTTCTTGAGGCCCAGGTGGGTCTGTGGAGCTCCAAGCTTCTCCATCATCAGCTTCAGCTCCATCAGATCAATGAAGCCATCTTTACCAGTGTCATACCTACAAACAACAAAACCCACGCAGTATTCATTTATTGATGTTCCCATGTTCTGTCCGTGTCCTGACCTGTCATGTGTTCTAAATGTACCTTGTTCTAAAT